TTTTTTTTTTTTTTTTTTTTTTTTTTTAAATATAGATAGTCGGCCAAAATCGCTTAGGCGGTTACAGCGCCAAATAAGAAGAAGATAGTCCAACGGCAAAAACCAGCAGAATAAATTTATTTAATTTCGTTTAGAACACGGGAAGATTCTAGAAGACATACCAAAAAATTGTCTACAAAATTTTCAACTTTTCAATTCCATTTCTTAGGAAGATTTTAGGTATGCAGTTTTGTAGCCCATTAAATTTTAGTATAATAAGGTGTAAGTTTGAAGTCAATAAAAATTACCGTCGATTTTTTAGAATTTTTTTTGTTAAGGGTGCGCATTTTCTTCCATGTAAAAATAGATTTGTTCATGCGTTATATGGAAGAAAATGCGAAACCAGAAAAAATTCTCAAAAATCAACCGTAATTTTTGGAGACTTGAAACTTGCACCTTACTGTACTAAAATTTAATATACAATTTTCATCTATATGAAATTTAAAAAACTGATTCTGCTTGTTTTTGCTGTAGAATAAAGTATGTTTCTATAAAAAAATATAAAAAAAATTTTATGGAAAATATAAATAAAGAAAATCGTCAAATCGGCAGGGTATTCATATTTTTGACGCTGACTGTTTGTGAGTACACATGTATGTACTTAGATCTGTGTGAATCTATACACACAACAGCTTAAAAGAAATTCTATCAAACCAGCGAGTGGGAGAGACCAGAAAATAAATATATGCAAGCAAGCGTAGGACTTTTCAAGGACTCTTAGCTAAAGTAGCGCCCATCGCGCATCCTTTGGGAAGCTACAAAAATTTGGGGCAGCAGTTGCGAGAGGAAAATACGGATAAAATAATACATACATACATACATACTTATGAACAAATGTGTATAAAACAAAAAAGCTGAAGTTTTCACTACGAGAAGCGTGTGCGCGGCAGTAAAAACGAAAAGAGATAAGAGAAGGGGGAAAAAAAGAGAAATATTTGAATGAAAACAAGCGAAAGTTTATGCACTAACATGACACATATGCGAAAGAAAGTGCTCACATCCTAAACACATACTTTTTGTATAGCAAGCATGTGTGCGTGCGTGCGTCTTTGTGCGCAGGTTTTTCAACAATGTGATGCTGTACATAGCTTGGCAAGGATTAGCGAGTCGCACGCACACACACACGCACGCCTACGCTTGTGCACTAAGCGCATAGTGATAGACAGAGGAGTTTAGCTACTTACACCAACACTTATAACCTATAAAAGTTTATGGCGGGCCACTAAACGAGCACAGGAGTGTTTGAAATTTCGCAACATAGCCATAAAATGTGGAAAAAAGTGCGAAAAGTTTTTGCTTTCATTGTATAAATCAGAGTGGACGACTTGTGTCTGAAAGCAACTTTGTGGAAATAAATAAATATTTATCGTATTTGGTTTTTGCGTATGGTAATAGGTATGTATGCATGAAGCCTAAAAGTCGACTACATTACGTGCATACTTACTTATAACTGGAGTTTTTTTTTTTTTGTAACAAAAAGCAATAAAATATAAAACTATAAATTCTTATTGGCAATTTCAAGCTTCAGTAAACATTTCAGTAGTTATACTCCGAACTAGCTTTTTCCTTTGGATCACTCTGAATTGATTATTGCAATTACTTTGAAAAAAAATAAAATAATAATTTTTATAATGGCAAACTATGGTAAACTCAGGGAAAAAATGTGGTTCACTGTCGAAAAAAAAAAAATTTTTTTATCGCTATTTGACAAACTGCTGCAAGCTCCTCATTTCATTGTTGGCAGTGGGAGTCCGAAGAATGCTACATTAAATTGAAATAAGCAACCGTATTTAAAAAAAAAAAGCAGGGTTGCTCAAAAATATCCAACATGCAGAAGTAGAAGAATATGAAATTTGGATAACACTTACAGTTAGTCAGAAATGAAAGAAAAAAATGGAATAAAACGGAGTCGGAATTCATGAAACCGATCACAAAAATTTGTTTTTCAATTTCGGACAGGGATCCCAAAATATAGAATTAGGCTCAAAATTAAAAATTAAAAATTTTAAATTTGTTTTCTAAACACGCTTTCCAAAAACTAATACATATATAGGGCGTTCCATACCAAAATGGACGGGGTTCACACTTCATGTGTTTGATTTGTTCGAAATTTTTTTTTCAGGTGGCATATTTTCAAAAATTAATTTTTTTATCAAAAAATTTTTATGTGAAAAATTTATAACGAAAAAATTTTTTTAAAATATTTCTTTCCGTAGAGAATTTTGATGTGTGTTTTTTCAAATTTTTTCCTCGCCCCGTTCTCGAGATATTTGGAAAACTATTAAATCGATTTGTTTTTGTTTTTGTACGGTAAAGTTTTAAAAAATGCATTAATCACGCCCGAATTTCATATTTATTTATTATTTATGTTTATCCATCCACCCTAAAAATTTGAAACGCCCCATATATTGAATTTACAGCGAAATTTAAGATGCAGTTGGATTAATATATTCGAGGAAAAAACGGGCCATTCGATTACAAAACTCCGGTTTATTCGTTTGCGCCCTCGTTTACATACATACTATACGATGAGTGTTATAAGTTTTCGTATTAATGAGAATACCAGCACGCCGATTACTTGTGCAAAAATTCCACTCCTCACGCAAAATTCCACAGCCTAGAGACATTTGTCGTTTAATCAACACGTCCAAGTGCATAACTTTGATATCACTTCGTATGATACTATAGAGACCGACGCTTACCCACATACATATGTACATACATATGAATATGCCTGTGTGTATGTGCCAAATTGCTGCGTAACCGGTTGACAATGGGCAAGATTGTGCTTGTGTGTCGTGGTGCTCTAATCACACTTCGCACAACAATGCTTGCACATTGCCGTTGACTACAGATTGGATAAAGCAAAAGCATTGACAGCAGCTACACTGCTAACTCTGGACATATTTAGTAAGATTTTAAGCCAAATGAACCTATGAGTGAAGCTTTGCTGCGATAAGAGGCACATGGCGGTTTTTGGATTTTTGTATTCAACGCCAGCGTCTGACACTGCCAATATAAGTGATATAAGATTTTGCACATTTCTTTAATTAGGCTTAGGTTGCCAATAAAATAAAGTAATAAAATTCAACTTTTAGTTGCATAATTTTCAACATTTTATGTCTTAATCTACAAAACTCAATTCTATTTTCCGACTATTTTCCGTGAATTACTCAATAACATGTGTGATGTATTATACTCACATAAGTACATATGTGCGCGCATAGTGCATGTCTTGAGTAATTACCAAATTAATATTTATTTGCACGCTTAACGTAATTTTTCCGCATTCATTGCAAACACATGTACCGCGCCAATGTAGACAGAGACACATGCTGAGGCACCCGGTGTACTACGATCATTCGATTACTCAAGCATTCAAGCAATTCCTGAGTTTTTTTTGCTTGTTTTTTTTTTTTTTGCTCATTTGCCGCTGCTCATTTACTCATTTTCATAGATTTCTTTCTTTGTTGTTGTGGCTGCGCACCACTACAATGCGTTTAAAAGTTGGATGAATGCCACACATTAAATAAAAATGCGAAGATTGCAGTTTGTGGCTGTCGAGCGGTAAAAAAAAAAAAGTTAATCATACGCCCCGGCTATCATCAGCAGGCGGCTTTGAATGAGTAAACTACTCATATCAAACAGTACATGGTTAGTTGTGTGTTCTGCTGCGAGCAGTGTATTAATGTGAGATTTAGTAAATGCTGACAAAGACTAAAGAATATTTAACAACATTTTTTTTGGTATTTTTTTCGCAGCTAAAGGCCAAAGAAAACCTTTTATAGTAGAGCGATTGCTCGCGAAAATAAATAGGTATGTTTTTGAAGATGAATTGAGACATTTTTATCTTTGTAGTGCAGAGAATGGAATAACTAACATTTTTTCTAAGCCTCGTTTAATGTTTTTTAAATTTTGCTAAATATGCATTTTTACAAAAAAAAATTATGATTTTTTATTTGCATAAAAATACACCATTGCTTAAGTTTGGACACAATGCTTATAGCCTATTTCCACTAAAAGCATAACTGCAGTTAAGGCTTGGTGGAAATGAACTATTATACTGCTCATCCTATGCTAATGGTAGATTTCCACTGAAAAATAAATGAGAAAATTTTATTCACAGATTTGGGCATTAATAATGTCATTACGTTAAGAATAATAGCCATTAAGTCAATTTTCAACTGGCGTTTTTTAAGTTATACAGATTTTCTCTAACTTTGGTTATTGCAATGTCTAATGGAATTCTACAAGTACAACCAGGCATATCATTTCGCTTTTTTCCAAAATTTCCTTTTGATTCAAAAATGCTCAAATAAAATTTTGAAAATAGTGTCGCTTACGTTTTTGAGCGGTTAGGGCTCAATTTGGAGATATCGACCGAATTTCGAAATTTAGACCAATATGGAGCCTGAGGGAAACTGAATGTTTTTTCGCCAAAGTATAAAAAAGCTACCGAAATTATAAAGCTTTAAAGCACACATATTTGCAAAATGGGTTGCCACCTGTGTATATATCTAAAAGATGTAAATGAAAATAAAACATAATTGAGTTATAAATCATTGAATGGATACCAAACGATTTAGGTACATATTTTTCGATAGGGTTATCATCTAAACAAAAATTTCAAGTGAAAAAAATAAAAATTTTATATGAAAATCAAAAAAAGTATAAGTAATTAGTTACTTAATAGCAAAAAATAATAATTTAGAACGTATTAACAGGTACACATATTTTTGGGTATGGTCACCAAAACCAACCAAAAAAAAATCTTGCAATATTTTGGAAATTTTGGAATATTTGTACACAAAATTTGACTTACTGACAACAGTTATTTATGTGTACAATAGATGGCGCGTTACACGAAAGGTGCTCAAGAGCTCGTTAAAAAAAAATCTAGAGTTGCCACCCTTTCGAAAAACTAAGTTGCATAGAAATAGGGTAAAAACTAATAATTGTAAAAAGTATCCTTGGAAAGCTGGTTTAGAAATCTTTAAGCGTATTCACCGTGAAAAGGGTTGCCACCTAAAAAGATAAATTAAATGTAAGGGACATACATATTTTCCATTTTGTTCAATGACCTTTTGCCAGCTATCAGTTAGCTTCATAATTCCACGTAGAAGCACCTATCTTTATTGCCGAAAAACTGTACAAAGTATCGATTACCTCCCCGAAAACGCAGAGTTTTGAAGAGAAAGAAACAAGTGGAAGTCTGTTCGTGCAAATTTAGGCGAGTACGTTCGGTTTGGTATATTTGACAGACTCCAGACATTTGAGGATGGCAAATTCGATCAAACTGTTCAATTGCGCGAATAGTACTCAGCCGAATTATTATTCGGTTTTCCAGAATGAGCTCAAAGAACCCACACTTCTTCAAACCCACCATACTGACGTCATAAGCTTTCTATGATGAAGTTTTGGTTTTGAGGTCATAAGAGGCATAAGATAATAGTGAACCAAGTTTTGACTAGTTTTTGATGTTTCTCTAATCTATTGTGTCTAATTTATTGTAATTCTCGGTGGACCTTTATGATCGATAAAGATACCGAGTGGAGCTGTTGCAAACATTGCCAATGAATTTCTCCCCAACCAATATTAACCGACTGCCCAAATTTTTCGAGAATTTGTCCCAAACAACATCCCCAACTTAATTTTTTCTTATTTAACTTTTCTAAAGCTTTACATAGCATTTGCCTTAAGGAAAGTGTCACAAAGTGCGAAAATAAGAACATTGTACAATTATGGCTATTTACACTACACAAGGGCTCAGTGCTCCTATTTAAATGTGGGTAATCAGTGTCCAAAACAAGCACGAAAAGAAAAATTGAAATATAAAGCTGTACATACATATATGTATATGTAATTGGATAAAAGCCAAAAAGAATGTGTCACAAGTATGAGGAAAAGCAGCCAACAATGATGCTCATCACTGTCACATTATGAGCGCATTAAATATTTAAGTCTATGCATCATTTTACGCCTAAGTTAGTGCGTAATAAATTTCATAAATTCATTGTCAATATTAAAGCGGCCAACAAAGACGCCCAGTTGTACAGACACAAACAAGTCTACTTTGATCTGCGAAGCTCTAAAAGTTAGATGTAGATATGTCACGCTGGCCATCTCTCAGAAACAAAGACATTTTCGGCGCACAATTCGGTAGAAATTGCTGACGAACACAAAAGCTCAGAATCCAATAAAAACAAAAAAAATACGAAAATAACTTAACCTTTTTTGAAGAAAAACTCACTCTAAATTAAATCTCAAAATTTGTTTACCACTCGTCAGTAATTAATTTAAAAATACTAGATTGCAATAAAGCTGAGTAATCGAAACCGATTGTCCATTTCCGCATTGCTCACGTCTTGTTGAAAAAAAAGGATCAAGCAAATGATATGAAAGAATAGAATAGAAGTGCAGAAAGATGCCGGCTGATTTTGTTTCCTCTTAGACTTTCAAAGCTCCTCCACAGTTGAGCTTAACGAAGCGCATTAAATTTTTAAAGGCAAATTCCTTTTTTGCTTTCTCCGAACCCAGCCAGATGAGTGGATTATCTACAGCTCACGTAACTCCATTTTGAGCACCCAAGTTAGTGTAAAGTCAAATAAATCATGACCTTTTTGATTCGCTGTTATTTTTTTTTGGTTTTTTTCGATGTATTTCCATTTTTAATTTCGCCGTATTTCCTTTTCTTATTTGTTTACTTTTTTTGTTCACTTTGTTCTTCTTATTTACCGCTCTGCAAATGAATGATAGATAATAAATTTTAATTTGAGTTGGCAAAATTTATTACATCATTTCATGCATTGCTTTGAAGACAGCCAACGCCGCGCGCGTAGGCTACATAACAACAAATCATGATGCACTAAATCAGAAACACGCACAATATTTATACGTATGTACATATGTATATGCATGTAAGAAAAAAAAAATAAAATAAAAAAATAAAGAACATAAAAAACACCCACAAGCTTCTTCTCACTCATAATATTTATGCATTTGCTATAAATTTTGTGTTTTTTAACATCCTCTTTAATTTTTTCTCGTTTACGCTACTTAAGCATGTTTTTTTTTATGAAAAAAAAATATACCAAGTGAGTACTATATTTTACTTTCATTATTGCGTAGCGTGTATGGTTTTGTTGTATGTATTTGCGTAGTCGTATTTGCACACTTTTGCGAAGGTCGTAGCGACCGTTGCTTTATTTGAAGAAACAAAAGATAAGACACAATTCGAAAGTAGGAAATTTTTGTTTCTCGAAGCATGGATATCAAAACCGAACCGAAGGCAGAAGGCATGTTGCTTTTATTGATTAGTCGTATAGCCTTCTTTTGACTTGGACTTCCCACATGGACTTCCGTCCGTATTATTTACATTTTGGTTTAATTTTATACTTGAGATAATGTCCAGAAAAAAAATGTCAAAGTCTCTCGAATTGGCGAAATCTCAAAGTCTCTCGAATTTCCAAGTAAAAAGTGAGTAAACTTGGCTGAAATTGTGCCAGACAATATTTGGCCAAATTACGATTCCCAAGAAAATGACAAGCAATCTTTATAAAGAATTCAAACTGCACATCGGTAGAGGATGCATCTACATTTACGATTTTCCTCTTTACCAATAGGACGAGAAAAATTTAAAACTGAAACATGAATCCACAGATAAGACCGCCACGGTCCGCTTCGCCATCAAGCAAAGGAGTACTAGGTTCTACCTCAATCCAGCGGATAGCGACTCAACGATCTTTCAACACTTTAAATCAATACTCGATCGAAGAAACTCATTGGTGCGTTTCGATGATGACTCTGCATGGACTGTTCTCTACCTGCATCCCTCCAAGGAGTGAACGGTACAGAGGAAGCCTCTGGGACAGAGGTACAGTAAATATATTAATATTTGGCTGACAATCGTAGTCAAATCAATTATAAGTAATTTTGATAAATAAATTAAATACCCATGAGCATCGAAGTTTAATGGAAGAGCTTTTTGTCAGAAATTTTACGATAAGCTCCGAGATTTCTAGAGGCGGTGGACTGGCTATGCAGAAGCGTAATATCGATTAGACAAATTTGTTATGTATTGTTATGTAATTCATATTTTTGGCTTTTTCTATACAAAAAAAAAAAAAAAAACATGTTCCTCCGTTTTAGCAGGGGAGAATGGTCTAGGACACCCGGTAACGGGTAAGTAGCAAATCGAACAGTAACTAACCTGCAAAAAATTGTGCGACAAATCTCTAAAGCGAGTATTCCGCGATTAGTCTCAATCGGGTACAATTGGGCACTAATAAGTCGCAACTAGTTTTATACGGGTATTATTGGAGATCAATTAGTGTCCGACTCCATCCCTAATGGGTACATTGAAAAATGTGATATCTGGGCAGCGTTGTTTAAAAAAATGTTGACAGCCTAGACAAAATAAATTTAGACGAGCGAATGGATATGGATGCCATGCACTGCAAAATCATGAATTATAACCTAATATCTATATTAATAATAATCAAATTCAGAGCTCTTTAAATCAAATTTAGTTTTTAAAAAGTTCATGATCCAAAAATAACTAAAAAGCGCCACTCTCTGCTCGCACACCAGTCGGTATGTTGGCTTGTTTTCCCCCATCGCTTGCTAACACAACTTTCAAATAACTGTCAGACATGTTTGATTCCGTCTTTTTTTTTTTGTGCACAAACGCGTCAATGTTTAAACGTCAAGCCGCAAATAAAAGCATTGTAAATTGCAAATGAAAACTCTTGCCATAAACACTATTTATAGAACGAAACCGGAAAACTACGCCAGCGTGCAATGGTCTTTCATTTTTCTGACGCCGGTTTGCAGCAGCATGTTTTTGTCAATCAACGCAGAGGCCTACAAGTGCACGCACGTAAACATATGTATGTATGCGCATGTGAGCAGCGCGCCGCCGTTTCGCTTTCCATGCACTAAAGAGATTCTTTTATTTTTTTTTTTTTTT